CGAAAATTCAGGCTTTCAACCACTAGCCGCGTGCGCGCGTCGACCTACGCTTGGGGTCCGTGCAGCACCGGCGATGCCGATAAAGCTTGCAAAAACACGCAAGCAAACCAAACTCAAATTAAGTGACTTGACCTCGCTCTAACTCCTTTTTCTCAGCACACGAAACAACCAAAGGTAAGCTGTCCGGCTATCTGTCAGCCGCTGTACCGTGCTGTTGTCTTTCTCTCTTATTTGTTGACGTGGTATGGCAGCAGAAACAAAGGGGAAGAACATCAAAATCACCAGGTCATACCTGAAGGCGAGTGAAGCAACAAAAGCACCATGCGGAAACCAGGATCCCCCCAGCCAGGATCCCCGAGATCACAATGGCGCAGCCGATAAGGCATAACAACTCACCAATAGTCACTTCGAAGCAAACAACGACAAAGCCGCGTCGCAACGAGAGTGGTGAAAAGAAAAGTGAGACGGACAGTGAAACAAGAGCTAATGTGAGAAAGAGCTAAAGTGAAACGGACAGTGAAACAGCCCTCCGGGTGCGCTCAGAGTCCGCTCAGTAGTGCTTTTCCGATCACTCTTGAGTAGTTTCCTGTACTGGACAAAGGTGCTTGCTGGGCATTGCGCCCAAACCGGCTCACTTGGAGAGCTGCCAGGGTTTGACGACTCTTACAAATGTGCACTCGTGCCATTTCCAGTCTCAAAAACCGTGTCCACGACATTTTCTTGCGTCGACTCGACTCTGCCTCTTTTGGAGAGAGTTGATCTGATGATCTGATCTTTTCCAATAACTCTAACCTGCGCTCCGGAGTGTGGTTTATGAAAGCACCACCTTCGTCAAACTTAGTGAGCCGAAGCGCCTTCAAAAAGTTCCTTCTTTTGCATATTGAACTCCAAGGAGGTCGAACAAGAAACCTACGCATTTGTGTGTGGAAGTCGCCGCCAACTCTGATGAAAGCGTTGACATTTACTCCAGGGATCTCCAGGGAAACCTCTCATGGAATATTTGCCGGCATGTATATACTGGTAAAGAAGAATTTAGGCCAATTAATAATTGCGATTTGTCTTGTATACATACATATATATACCTTTGTTTGATATTCAGTACTCCCTAATAGAAACTATGGTCTACCGCCAAATCGAGACCCTGTTTTGGTCTTGGACGCACACAATGTCCTGTTTTCGATGTAATTGAATGTTACGTTAGGAATATAGAATTATATGTGTATATACTGTATATACCACTAGCGCCCTGATCAAAGCCGCAGCAACAAAATCCACCCCATGCAACGTGAACTTCTGAGGTAGCCCGCAAGCGTCATTCAAACCGCACTGCTTGAAGGTATCAATGACACTCACCTTTTCGTTTTGCCTCAGCCAAACCTGTGCGCTATGACTTTGTCTTGAAGATCACCAGACTCATCCTCCCATATCCGCTTCCGCTCACATTCGGCTGGGGCGATCTCGTCGAGCAGTGGTAAAATGCCCGTCTCAGGACCACGCATAGACAGCTGGCCGCGGATCGATTCCCCCCGGGTGCGGGGCCGCGATCGTGACGTGGTAGACGAGTAAGTCTCAATACACCGCGACCCGCCGAAAGGCACACGGCGCCGGTCACAAAAAAAAACAAAAAAAACACTTCCGCTCACATTCGGCTTGGGTTTTTTCCCATGCAGCAAGATGCAACTCGGCGTCTTCAAGTTCTTTCACTCTTTTCATGACCGCTTTCTGCAAACCAAGAGACGACTTTAGGAGCGCTTCCAAGGTCAATTTAGGTGGCCGCGGCAAACCCATGAACACCTGTGAGTCTCTCATCCACCCAGACAATCGAAAACCCGTTATGATGTCCTTGAAGAGGTTTCTGTCCGGGAACTGCAGGTCCTCAAGCATTTCCTTGAAAATCAACAAGCGTTTGCCTTGGAGAACATGTCTGATGTGTTCTCCCAGCTCCAGTCTTAGATTGCGCTCATCTTTCTCAAGCTCTTTTGCTCTTGCAACCCATCTTTTAAAGAAAGAAAGCCTCCAGTCATCCAACGCGCAAGCTTGGTGGTTCAGGTTGGTCAGCAACAGTTCATCAAGTTGTTCTGATCCCGCATATGGTAGAAATCTCGGATGTCCAACCTGCGCAGCTTTTCTCACAAAGTCCCAAGACTCTCTGGGATACCAAAAGTCACAAGCTCAACCTTTGTCTCTTTGCTCACTGATTGCCCTCCAGATACATCAGAGATTCACCTGTCAGATCGGAAACCCGCTTGTCACCCCCAGTAAGAAGTTTTCGGTCAGTGATCCGAGCGCCTTTTGTAAGCCTCGGTAAAATGCGGCTTGCATCCATGTTGGGCTTGACGACAAATTGCACGTAGTGCCCAAACTCACTGACCAGGGGTTTAAGCTTTTGCCCCCTTGGAAGTAGTCCCACAGCTACTGAGTTGATTGCTGTGGTTCGACGCGCTGCGATCTGCTGTGTTTGTAGTGGGTTGTTCAATTCCTCGCGCCCGCAAATCAGCAATCAAAAGTGAAGCTACTCGCTGACAAAGTAGCTTTGAGATATACAAACGTATACATATATATACATATTTGTGGTTGTCTTTATACACAGCTTTGATCCCAGAATAAACTAGAAATAATTATGTAATTATACCTACATGTTGTATCCCTAAACCCTAAACCACACCCTGCATATACATACATACATGCATACATACCTACCTACCTACCTACATATACATATATATATATATATATACATATATATATATACATATATATATACATATATTGAACTTGCGGAAAATCATGGAAAATTGAAGAAAACCAGGGAAACATTGAAGAAAAAACGTGGGAAAATTGAAGAAAACCATGGACAACTTGCAGAAAACCATGGAAAAATTGAAGAAAACCATGGAAAATTGAAGAAAACAATGAAGAAAACCATGGAAAATTGAAGAAAACAATGAAGAAAACCATGGAAAATTGAAGAAAACCGTGGAATTGAAGAAAACCATGGAAAAATTGAAGAAAACCATGGAAAATTTGAAGAAAACCATGGAAAAAATTGAAGAAAACAATGGAAAAATTGAAGAAAACAATGGAAAAATTGAAGAGGCACGAAACGTAAAAAAAATCCAAAAAACAATTCTGCACCCTTGAGATATTACCAAGAACAAGATTTCATTTTTACACAAGATGGCATCAACTCTTTTAGATGGAGTTAATGCCGCTACTGTGTCTGAATTTCAATTTAATGTAGATAGATACTCCTGTAGATAGAGATACTCTTTGCATTTTGTCTCCGTAAACCTTCCGCCGAGCAGAACAGCTCCGAATGGAGCGAATCAACATTTTACCAACTCCGAATTTGGTCCATTGTTTGCTTGAATGAGCGACTTTGGAGATCTGCTGTATCCGTTAGTTTTGTGATTCGGTCAACTGTTTTCCATTTGACCTCAATTTCTGAATCTTGCGAATCCTAACTTTTAGAGGCGAATATTTTCACACCGGTAGAGCATTTTGCTTTGAGCGACCGTGCATTTTGCATCATTGTCGAGAAAAATAATTAGCGCGAATCCGCTGTTTTCACTTCGACATGTCGTTAGGACACTGTTTGATTTTTCAATCCGCTTGCATTCGCTACTTTTGTTGAGACACCACTGCGTGACTTCCGCTCAGTTTTTAGCCGATTTGCCATGGTGTAGCAAAGAACAGGATGTGACTCTTAATCTCGATTGAGTACGACAAGGCGTAGTGCTCTACTCATTGCTTTTGAATTTGTGCCTGTGTTTTTGTTTTGACTTGAATCCTACGTGGGTACTGCATGAGTATTGAACACATTTATATGCGCCCTTCAAGGCTCAAAAGAGAGATATAGAGTAACCCTGTGGTCACCGCACCGACTGGCAATACGCCGTGAGTAAAAGGGGGCGCTGTTGGGAAGACGCTCTAGTTGATCTATACTGGAGGCTAGTGCCCCTCTTCACGCCCTCCCCCCAACCCCCCCCGTTTTTTATTCAAGTCACACTTGCAACACACTTCTCTGCATGTGTGTGTGTGTTTTTGCATGTAGCACTTACCGTGAAAACAGGTATTGTCATTCTGCTTTTAGGAGGGGGCGCTGATGTAGCATTGCCGGTGAACACAGGTATTGTCATTCTGCTGAATAGCAGCTGAGCGCCAATCGATTGGTGTTGAAATGTTTGATGACAAAAAAAACTATATATCTATGTTTTTGCATGTAGCAGTCCCTATGAAAACAGGTATTGTCATTCTATTGGATAGCTGCTGAGCGTCAAGTGTGTGTGTGTGTATTGAAATGCTTGATGACAAAAAAGGAGACCGTACCTGGTCACACCTGGGTAAATTACGGTTGTCAAAAGAATTTCGGGATTACAACCAACAGAAAAGCAGCAAATTGAATGGTTAGACTGCAGCTGAATGCCATTGTTGAACCATTAACCATTGTCATTTTGCTTTGAGGGGAGGCGCTGCGCCTTAGGGGTTTTCCTAGAAAGTTTCCGTCTCTCGTTGCCGGGTCAAAAAAATATTCCAGACCCCCCAATTTTTTTTTTTACCAAAGACTAAAACATATTTGTGTAGCCAAGAATTATTTTTGATCCTATTGATTTATTATTCTTTGATCTGGATTTTTTTCTTGGTCCCTCACTCCATATCAAGAACGGGCAAAAACGCAGAGTTCAAAAACAACATGAAAAACATAAGCACGCCAACTTAATGGATTGCCAACTGGATTGCCAACTGACTCTTTGAGTCGCATGAATGAAATGGGCATGTATGATGACGACAGAAACTCCAAAGTGAAAACACGTTGTGCGTTGACCCATATGCACCATATGTATCCATACTGTATGTGTCAAGTGTTTTTGCCAAAGCAGTCGTGGCTCAAAGAAAGTTGCAATAAACTGATTTGAAGGAACAAAGCAAACCAACACTTCACAATTGACAACACGCTCATCAATGTTGACAGTTCAATTTGTTGCATGGTTTGAAAACCTTTGGCACAAAACCATTCCGAACGAGCGTTGCTGTGTTGTGCCTTGGATGTTTTGATTTGTTTGGTGTGTGTGTGTATTGGGATGTACTGGGAACATGCACCTGTGTGTGGTTTCACACTGGCAACTTTTGGTGAAACTAAAGTGGCCCTCGTGTGCCTCAGGAATGACATGTGCTTGTACGTCAAGTGCAGAGGATTCGTCACTCAAAGGCTTGATAAAGCGCGTACAGAAATTGGAGGCAGGTTTCATCTCAAAACATTGGAATATTCGGGTCTTTGTTGTGTCGTAGTTGAGTCGTTTCAACAGACGCATAGAGTGTCTGTCGGTCCACGATGCCACATTTTTGTGATGTGCAGGCAGGATTCATCAGCATGGGACAAGAACTGAGCATGTTGCGGCAATGGGCATCTGGAAACTGCAACCTGGATTACTTCAAAGACCCTTGTGTTGTCCCACGCCGCTCGGTGTAGTCGTTTGGTAACACTGACTTGCCGGGTTCGGTTCGGAGATGTTCGGAGATGGTGTTCCATTCCGCCACAGGTCAGCCATAGTTTGGTATCGTGAAAAATGAATCATGGTTGGGTATTGATCAAATCCTGTTTGACATGGGTTTGTCTGACGATGGGGTACCTTTTCCTGTCCAAAGTGGGCATCAATTGAAGTATCCGCCATGGTTGGACAAACGCAAATCATAGAATTATATTGTTTATTTTTACCATCAGAAAAAACATGTATATGTATATGTATATGTATGTGTATGTGTATGTGTATGTGTATATGTATGTGTATGTGTATGTGTATGTGTATGTGTATGTGTATGTGTATGTGTATGTGTATGTGTATGTGTATGTGTATATGTATGTGTGTTTGTATGCACATTATATTATACATCCCCATTTTGGTTGGTTTAAAACCCCCGTTTGCCACACCCAATATGTTTGGATCGACATCCCATCGAAACTACTTGGCCTCGATTTCCAAGGTTTGGATCCGGTGAACAAAACGGACGGTGAAATAACAGATGCCTGGAACTTATCAGATCCTGATCGGATTCTGAACTGGCAAACTGGAAGATGTCCGGATCGGATTCTGATCTCATCAATGGGGCACCCCAAAATTTGATGATTTCAGCATACAAAATATACACTTATAATACCAAACATGAATTTTCTTACATCGCAACCGTCCTTTTTGCGTGGAATTCGACTAAGGCTTTGGGACATGCCTTGGATCCAGGGCTTTTGCTCCCGATGGTACAGTTCCTTGGCGTGGAAAAATGTCCGTCTGAAAATGCATCTGTACTGACAAATGTGATGATGATTGATGATGATTCATAGCCTTTTGACCATAACATATTCAGGTTTTTTGATGAATGACGGTGAAGAATAGTGTGGTTTAACTATCCTTCATGGTCAAACATGGTTAAAGATGGTGGGGCCAGCAACGGCTACACAGTTTTGGCCAAACGGATTGCTGGGATTTTGGCATTTTCACCCAAGGTTTTCAGGGCTGCCTTGTGTTTTCGCACTCGAGAGGACATCCCCACAGGCAAGTGCTGCAACATCGCATGCTGACATGCGAAACTAGCTAAGGGTATGCTGAACATCACAGGAATGGTTTGGACATGGCTAAGAAGTGCTTGCAAATTTCAGGATGTTTGAATTTGTTTCGAACGTTTTCTTTTCGCAGGTGTTTGCAGCCCTCTCACGCCTGATTGAGCCCATCAAAGCCAGTTTCATGAAACTCTACGTGTGTGGTGGGTGCCAAAGAAGCACCAGCCTAGTCAGAGGCGAGGACATTTCCAGCATTTTGATCAGCAAATTGGACGAAAGTTCCATGGCCCTTTGGAACAAACCAACATTCATTTCCTCCCTGACTCGTTGTGAATGGTGACTGTGAGATGGTGGCAGGAAGTACGACAGTGCACCCTGAAAACATGAGCAACACAGTGCCTTACCTGCAGTAGTGCAGTAGTTTTGATGAGTTTTGATGAGTTTTGATGAGTTTTGATGAGTTCATATTCCTTCGTTTTTTATAATCCGCTTCAGGTGGAACGCTTGGACTTGGGGAGACAAATAGATTCCATCGCGCTACCGAATTTGTGGGAGGCCGGATGTCAGGACCTCTGTACCTCTGTGATTTGGGTCCCGATCACAGCGGAGGCAACCTTTTTTGATAGAGGAATTTACAATCTTTTGAATTCACAAAATGTTCATAATGATGTCATAGTGTATCAGCATTTATCATGATTTATCACGATCTATCAATTTTTCTGGGTGACCCGCCAAATTTCCATGGTTTCAGCTGGAAAATTATCGGAGGTCTTTCAGGGGCAACCTCTTGTTTGTAAAGGATTTTACATGATTCTTCCATGATTTTACGTGAGCTTCCCAGGATTTTACGTGAGCTACCCATGATTTTGCGTGAGTTTCCCATGTGTTTTCCTCTGTCTGAACCCATCATCGTCCCATGTTGAGACCAACGTCTGTCAGGCAGTTGCTCCGATGCCTGAACAGAGGTCTGATGCCACCATCATGGTGTTGCGTGGATATCTCTACGTCTGCGGCGGTCAGGCTGCTGACAGGGAATAGTGGGGTTGGGGGTACCCATGGGTACTCAAGTTGGCTGATGACTTGCCCTATCACAACGATAATTTTGGGGGTACACCATGGTATACCATACCGTGTGCCCCAGTTTTGGTCAAACCATGTCAAACCCACATATCTGGGGGCTGACAGTTGGTGATACAGGGGTGGAAACCACTCAACGGGACACCCTGTGGAGACAGGCATAACATGTTTGGGGCTTGGAAGTTGAAGCGGACTTTCAGATTCGCTTGTCATATCTTGTCATAGCTTCGTTTGATGCTTCTAGTAACATCCATTTTTTCGTGGAAATCGATGGAAACGCCGATACTGAACTGAACAGATTCCAACTCCTAATTCGAGCACTCTACCGACTCCAGAGTGGTGAGTCAATTCTTCTAAGGATCTTCCCGAAGAATCAGATGCTGAATTTATGGCATTTTCACTAGTGTCCAACAAGCTCCACATCCCCTTCCCTTTCCATCCCATTTCCCATGCTTTATGGGGCCCACGGCATCAAACCTGGCTCCAGCGCAGTACAGCACAGGATGGCTCGGGGGTGTTGACGAGTGCAGCTCGCTTTGATCCCTGTGGGATGGAATGGGAGGCCCCTCGGCCAGTGTTTAAAGCTCTGGGATTGAAATTGGGTAATTACATTTTTTTGACACCCATTGTTGGATGGCTTGGTTTGGCTTATTACTAGATTAGGAAAGGACATGCGATCCTTGGATCCTTTGGTATCACTTTTCAGGTTTCCATTTCCCTGTGTGTCTTGCTGGCATAGTGTAGAACCGACAGACGCGGCAGGTGTTGCCATCCATGGCAGAAGGTCGACGAGAGGCCGCAGGCCACAGCAATTTGAGACCCAGAAAAACACCCTTGTCTTTTGTCAGTGGCAAATCATAGCAACCCAAATTCCCCAATTTTAATATAGATGACTTAGATAGGACTTAGATGACTCATCACCATCTCCATGATTCACCCAAAGATGAGATTGGATTAGATTGGATACACAGATAGACTCAGATAGACTCAGACAGATTGATAGATTGGTATTGAGTCTCTGAGTTCTGCTTGCAGGTGCTGCGCTCAACAGCTGCGTATACGTCTGTGGCGGTGCCAATACCAGTCAAGGACTTATTTGCTTCAGAGGTCTAGATGGAATCAACATGAGAATTTGTATACAATTGTCATCAATTGTCACTTTTGTAGAGAACATGTTTGAAGACTTCCTTGTGGTAACCTCTGAGTTTTGCCGCTGGAAGCGTTGTAAGTTTGGCGTTTGGCCAAGGCAGTCCTTTGAATTCCGCCGAACGCTTCAATCCCTTGCACAACGCTTGGGAGACGCTGCCGCCAATGCTCCGGCAGCGTTCAGGTGGGTCACCATTTCAACATATTTCAACAATTTGTGGCTGTTTGATAACTACAATTGGCTGTACAATCTGTAAATCCTTGCAGTGTTTGATAACTCGCCGATGTTTTTTTTGGGTTTGACCATGTTTGACCTTTCCCAAACTCCCAAACTGGGACCCCGTTTTCATGGCCCGGTAGGTGCTGTCAGCGCCGTCCTTGGCGGATACCTTTGTGTGGCCGGTGGTGGTGATGGGCAGCAGCCCTTGAGTCCTGGGGCCCAGTGGATCCCAGTGGATCCCAGTGGGCTCTGACCTGGGTGACCTGGGACATATGGCTATGGATCAATACCTATACATAGCATTTTTAGTGGGATGAACATCCATAAATCCCAGCTATTTTGATGTGAACAGAAGGGGTACCAGGGTTTTGACACACTGCCATATTGGACATATTGGAATATTGGAAATATATCGGGGATGATCTTAATCCATGAACTGGTCAATCCTATCAAACAGCCAGTATGAATGGGACTACATACCATCCCCTCGTACTTGGACACTGAGAAGCAGTACTCTTTAGAGGTCGGCACATCGCTTGTGCCTCGGGTTTTTCCTCGCTTGTGCCTCGGGTTTTTCCTCGCTTGTGCCTCGGATGTAGTTCCTAATGGCTTCTATGTATGTGGCTTCTATGTACCTAGGATTGTTGCCTTCCAGGTGCGAGGGTGCGAAAGTTCACTCACTCTGTGGCTTCCATGCGTGGCTTCTAAATGTGGCTTCTAATTGTGGTTTCTAAATGGTGTCTAGCTCTGCGGCTGCCAATGTAGCTTCTAAGGATGGTTTCGATGTAGGTTTTCACTCTGCGCCGTCTAATATGGCTTTCCATAGTGGCTTCTCATTGTAACGGGTAAATGGCTTCTATAAATCTGCGGCTTGCCATGTGGCTTCTATTAGTGGTTGCTCAATACGCGGCTACTAACCTGGCCTGCTATAGTGATCTCTAACAGCGCTGTCGAAGTGTCTTCTAAACCTGTGGCTTCTAATGTGGCTTCGCCTTGTGGCTTCTAATTGCGGCCTGCAAAGCTGCGGCCTCCAAAGCTGCGGCCTCCAATATTCCTTCCGATCCTGGCTTCTAAGTGGCTTCTAAATCTGCGGCTTCCAATATGGCTTCGGAGTGTGGCTTCTAAGTGTCTTCTAAATGTGGCTTCTAAGTGCGGCTTCTAAAGCTGCAGCTTCTACTGAGCCCTCAGATCATGGCTTCTAAGTGGCTTCTAAATCTGCGGCTCTGGAGGGTGGCTTCTTAGTGGCGGCTTCCAAGGTAGCTTCTAATTATGGTTTCCATGTAGGTTCTAAGTCTGCGGCCTTCAATATGGCCTTCTACAGTGGCTTCTAGTGGCTTCGAATTGTGGCGTCGAAGTGGCTTCTAAATCTGTGGCTTCTAAGGTGGCTTCTAAGCGTGGCTTCTAAGTGAAAGCTGCGGCTCCCGATGTGCCCTCCGACTGTGGCTTCTAAGTGGCTTCTAAATCTGCGGCGTCTGGGGCGTCTAATATGCCTCCGGAGTGTGGCTACCAATTTCTAATTGTTGCTTCTAAGTGCGGCTTCTAAAACTAAAGCTGCGTCTCCCAAGGAGCCCTGCGATCGTGGCTTAAGTGGCTTCTAAAACTGCGGCTTCTAATAGGTCGGACACTCGCTCCCGACGCCGAAAATCAACTCGCTTTCAACGCTGGAAACATACTCGCTCCCGACGCCTCTTTACTTACATCGACAACATGCACAACAAACAACAAGAACAAAATCAACAGCAGTCCCAACATCGACAACACAAAAACATTAACAACCACAACAACATCATCAACATTCACATCAACATCAACATCAACGCCAACATGAACAACAACAACAACAACAACAACAACAACAACACGACAACGACAACGACAACGACGACGACCACAACAACAACAACAACAACAACAACAACAACAACAACAACAACAACAACAACAACATTAACAACAACAACTAGATGATGGCATTGTGGAAGGCAAGGGGGGGAAGTTTAAACAACAAATTAGATTTTAGATCATGGCAGTGTGGAAGGCAAGGGGGGGGAAGTTTAAATGAAGAGTTAGATTTTTAGATCATGGCATTGTGGAAGGCAAGCCGGGGGGAAAGTTTAAATAAAGAGTTAGATTTTAGATGATGGCATTGTGGAAGGCAAGGGGGGGGGAAGTTTAAATGAAGAGTTAGATTTTTAGATCATGGCATTGTGGAAGGCAAGGGGGGGGAAGTTTAAATAAAGAGTTAGATTTTAGATCATGGCAGTGTGGAAGGCAGGGGGGGGAAGTTTAATGAAGATAGATTTTGGATCATGGCATTGTGGAAGGCAAGGGGGGGGAAGTTTAAATAAAGAGTTAGATTTTAGATGATGGCATTGTGGAAGGCAAGGGGGGGAAGTTTAAATGAAGAGTTAGATTTAGATCATGGCATTGTGGAAGGCAAGCCGGGGGGAAAGTTTAAATAAAGAGTTAGATTTTAGATGATGGCATTGTGGAAGGCAAGGGGGGGGGAAGTTTAAATGAAGAGTTAGATTTTTAGATCATGGCATTGTGGAAGGCAAGGGGGGGGAAGTTTAAATAAAGAGTTAGATTTTAGATCATGGCAGTGTGGAAGGCGAGGGGGGGGAAGTTTAAATGAAGAGCTAGATTTTTAGATCATGGCATTGTGGAAGGCAAGGGGGGGGAAGTTTAAATAAAGAGTTAGATTTTAGATGATGGCATTGTGGAAGGCAAGGGGGGGAAAGTTTAAACAACAAAATTAGATTTAGATCATGGCAGTGTGGAAGGACCAGGGTGGGGAAGTTTTTTAATTGAAGAGTTGATTTTTAGATCATTGGCAATTGTGCGAAGCAAGCCGGGGGACAAGGGGGGACGTTTTAAATAAGAGTTAGTTTAGTGATGGTCATTGTGTGAAGGCAGGGGGCGGGGGGGACGTTTAAATGAAGAGTTAGATTTTAGATCAGCATTGTGGAAGGAAGGGGCGTGGGGGAAAGTGAAATAAAAGAGTTAGATTTAGATCATGTGCAGGGTGGAAGGCGGGCGGGGGGGAAGTTTAAATGAAGAGCTAGATTTTTCAGATACATGGACATTGTGGAAGGCAAGGGGGGGGAAGTTTAAATAAAGAGTTAGATTTTAGATGATGGCATTGTGGAAGGCAAGGGGGGGAAGTTTAAATAACGAGTTAGATTTTAGATGATGGCATTGTGGAGGGCAAGGGGGGAAAGTTTAAATAAAGAGTTAGATTTTAGATGATGGCATTGTGGAAGGCAAGGGGGGGGAAGTTAAAATAAAGAGTTAGATTTTAGATGATGGCATTGTGGAAGGCAAGGGGGGGGAAGTTTAAATGAAGAGTGAGATTTTTAGATCATGGCATTGTGGAAGGCAAGGGGGGGGGAAGTTAAAAAAAAGAGTTAGGTTTTAGATCACGGCAGTGTGGAAGGCAAGGGGGGGAAGTTTAAATGAAGAGTTAGATTTTAGATGATGGCATTGTGGAAGGCAAGGGGGGGGAAGTTTAAATAAAGAGTTAGATTTTAGATGATGGCATTGTGGAAGGCAAGGGGGGGAAGTTAAAATAAAGAGTTAGATTTTAGATGATGGCATTGTGGGGAAGGCAAGGGGGGGGAAGTTTAAATACACGAGTTAGATGGTAGATGATGGAATTTGTGGAAGGCAAGGGGGGGAAGTTTTTAAATAAAGGTAGATTAGCTGGGCACGTGGAAAACCGGGGTGGGAAGTTTTTCAAAATAAAGAGTTAGATTTTAGATCATGGCATTGTGGAAGGCAAGGGGGGGAAGTTTAAATAAAGAGTTAGGTTTTAGATAATGGCATTGTGGAAGGCAAGGGGGGGGGCAGTTTAGATAAAGAGTTAGATTTTTAGATGATGGCATTGTGGAAGGCAAGGGGGGGGAAGTTTAAATAACGAGTTAGATTTTAGATGATGGCATTGTGGAGGGCAAGGGGGGGAAGTTTAAATAAAGAGGTCGATTTTAGATGATGGCATTGTGGAAGGCAAGGGGGGGAAGTTTAAATGAAGAGTTAGATTTTAGATGATGGCATTGTGGAAGGCAAGCAGGGGAAAGTTTAAATAAAGAGTTAGATTTTAGATGATGGCACTGTGGAAAACACGGGGGGGCAAGTTTAAATAAAGAGTTAGATTTTAGATCATGGCATTGTGGAAGGCAAGGGGGGGGAAGTTGAAATAAAGAGGTAGAGTTTAGATGATGGTATTGTGGAAGGCAAGTGGGGGGGAAGTTTAAATAAAGAGTTAGATTTTTAGATGATGGCATTGTGGAAGGCAGGGGGGGGAAGTTTAAATAAAGAGTTAGAGTTTAGTTGATGGCATTGTGGAAGGCAACAATAACGGGGGGAGGGAAGTGAATGAAAATGTTAGATTTAGATGATGGCATTTGGGCAGGCAAGGGGGGGGAAGCGAGTTTAAATAACGAGTGAGATTTTAGATGATGGCCATGGGGAAGAAGGGGGGGGAAGTTTAAATAAAGAGTTAGATTTTAGATGATGGCACTGTGGAAAACACGGGGGGGAAGTTTAAATAAAGAGTTAGAATTTTAGATCATGGCATTGTGGAAGGCAAGGGGGGGGAAGTTGAAATAAAGAGGTAGATTTTAGATGATGGTATTGTGGAAGGCAAGGGGGGGCAAGTTTAGATAAAGAGTTAGATTTTTAGATGATGGCATTGTGGAAGGCAGGGGGGGAAGTTTAAATAACGAGTTAGATTTTTAGATCATGGCATTGTGGAAGGCAGGGGGGAAGTTTAAATAACGAGGTCGATTTTAGATGATGGCATTGTGGAAGGCAAGGGGGGGAAGTTTAAATGAAGAGTTAGATTTTAGATGATGGCATTGTGGAAGGCAAGCGGGGGAAAGTTTAAATAAAGAGTTAGATTTTAGATGATGGCACTGTGGAAAACACGCGGGGCAAGTTTAAATAAAGAGTTAGATTTTAGATCATGGCATTGTGGAAGGCAAGGGGGGGGAAGTTGAAACAAAGAGGTAGATTTTAGATGATGGTATTGTGGAAGGCAAGTGGGGGGGGAAGTTTAAATAAAGAGGTAGATTTTTAGATGATGGCATTGTTTATGATGGGGTTCCAGAAGTGACGCCTCAGTACCATTGGGGAAACGGAAACCGACTCGCCCTCGACGCCGAAAAGTGCTTTTTGTGTTGGAAGTGAGTCAATGTTTGGTGTTGGGAGTGAGTTCTTGGTGTTGGGAGTGGGTCGGTGTTGGAAGTGAGTTGA